CGACTACCGGCTGCAGCGGAGGGGGGGGGGGCTCGGCCTCGTTCACGTGCAGTAAAGCCCAGCTCTCGGGGTCTTGGTGGTGGTGGTGGTGGTGGTGGGCAGAGGGGGCTTGCTGGCCTCGCCCAGCGGTCTGACTCATGGGAGAGGGGCCATGTCGGGGGGGTCGCTCGGCGCCGCCATGGCGAGGGGAGGAGGCCGCCCGAGCAGCATGCTTGCCGTCCCGCTCCCGCCCCTGCAGCTGATGGTGAGAGAGCTGGCCCCCCATCCCCCCCAAGGACTGCAGGTGCTGGTGCTGCGCCGCCTCGAGCAGCGCACTCGGGGGCGCAGGGAGAGAGGAGGTGGGGCCCTCCAATAGGGCGGAGCCCCCAAAATGTCCTTCCTGGACGGGCGAAGAGGTGTTGTAGCTCTCGAGCGTCCCCTCCGAGCCGCTATGGGAGAGGGCGGGGGTAGGGGGGATGTCGTAGTAGAGATGCAAGGAGGAAGAACCCTCCGAGTGCGCGGAGGTGGCGAGCGAGTGGGAGGAGTGGGTGCGCTCGGGCAAAGGGAAGGGACCGCCGCCCTCGTGAGCTCCATGGCCTTGGAGGGCGTGGTGGTGGCTCTGATGGTGCATGCCCAGGAACTGGTCCTGGCGAAGCTCGGCCGGGTCCCCGTCGCTAGAGCAGGAGCCGCCGCCAGAGTCCGAGGGGGAAGAGGCCTCCCCCTTGCTGCCCGCTTTCGAGGCCCCGCCCGGGCCCTTCTTCTCTTGCCGCAAGGCCCGCTGATGCTCCAGGTGCTGCGACGAGTGCGCCGGTGGAGCTCCGCCCGCCACCAGCGGCTTGCCTGCGCGACTCACTCGCCGCAGCGTCTCCCCAGGCCCATGCCGCCCGCTCGAGCGGCCCTTCTCGCCGGGACCCCCCGCCTTGGTCACGGGCGAATCCGGCACCCTCTTGGAGGCTCCCCCTTCCCCGCCCTTCCCTCCCTCGCCGCTCGCCTTCCCACCTCCGGGAGAATCGAAGCCTCGCCTGAGAGTGTCAACACTATGAGGGCCCGTACCGGGGGGCTGCTGCTGCTCCTGGCGCTGTGGCCGCTGCTCTTCGTCTTTCTTCACGTCGGGCTGGGCGGGCCGGGTCGGTGCGGGAGAAGAGGAGCTGGACGTGGAGGGCGACTCGACCAGCACCTCTTCGTCGTCCTCCTCCTGCTGCTTCAGGAAGTTGCTCTCCAAGAGGTCCTGCACGCTGGGACGTTGGGAGGGGTCCGAGGCCAGACAGCTGCGGATGAAGTCGCGTGCCCGCAGGTTGCAGACGCGGAAGAGGACCTTGGGCGCGACCTGGCCGATCACCTTCTTGTAGATCTGAGCGGCGTTGGCGCACTCGCTGTAGGGCGTCTCCTTGGTCACCATCTCGAGGACGCACATCCCGAAGGCGTACACGTCCACCTTCTCGTCGTACTTCTCATCGTAGAGCTCGGGCGCCATGAACTCGGGGGTGCCGAGCACCGAGAGCGGTGCAGTCCGTCCCGTGATGTAGGTGGAGAGCCCCAGGTCCCCGATGCGGAGGTCGCCCGAGGACCCGTTGATAAAGATGTTGTCGCACTTGAGGTCCCGATGGATGATGGGCGGGACGTGGGAGTGCAGGTAGAGGAGCCCGCGCAGGATCTGCCGGCACCAGCGCTTGATGATTTTCCAGCGGATGACCTGCACCTTCTTGATGAAATCCTTGAGGGAGCCGGAGGAAAGAATCTCCGTAATGAAAACCACCTCCTCCCGCTCCCGGTTCACCCAGGAGCCGAAGAAGGAGATAATGTTCCCGTGATCGAGCTGCTCGAGCAGGCGCACCTCGTGCATGATCCGGATCTTCTCCTGCTTGGGCAGTCCTGCCAGACTGATGGTGTTCCAGGCCACCAGTAGCCCCTCCTTGGTGTCGTAGGCCCGGTACACCATTTTGTACGCGCCCTTCCCCAGGACCTCGTTGAACCGCACGTACCGCTTCTGCGGGGAGTACTCGATGATCTGCTTCCGCAACTCCTCCTCCGGGTCACGCCCGTCCCCCATGCCCGGTAAGGCGCCGTCGCTCCCTCCCACCAGCCCCGTCGCGCCCAGGAGACCCAGGCCCCCGCCGACCGTGCAGCCGCTTGCACTCAACATGTTGGCAGCCGCGCCCTTCTCTCGCATCGCAGCGGCCGCGGGTGCCGGGGTCGAGGGTCGTGAAGCACCACCTTCCTTTCCATCCTGCTCCCTGTGATCCCCGTCTTCTCGCGCCTTCTCGGGCGGCAAGGGTGGCTGCAATGGCGCCGAGGCGGCCTCTGGCGGGCGCGAGACCGCGTCTTCTGAGGCCGACATGCAAACACGGAAACTCGGCTTGGTTTACTTTCCACTTGAAACTAATATCCCTGTCCTACCAGCTGTTCCTTTTCAAAATGTAAAGCAACTCTGCGAGCTACCAGCAACGCACTAGAATAAGCCACATCTTCCCCTGCACGGAGCTCCTGCTGTTGCTACTGTCTGGAAGCAAGGTGTTGCTGTCACAAGGACAATGTACGCTGGGTGTGAAGAACAGATGAGTACACAAAGATGAATTCCTGTTTGATGTGCAAAGATATAAAAAAAGGACTGTGGCCAATTTGTACCTTTTTGGGGGGGGAACTCCTCAACTCGGTCACGAATGGCGCCCGAGATGAACACCCGACTCTTTGGAGGGGCACGCGCACGAACACTCCGCAGGCGATCCCTTACACATTGTTTTACATGCTTGTAGGCCTGAGTCTCATCATTACATCATTGAGAGCATCTG